TTTTTTCAATTTGAATTTGTTTAAAAAAATTTACACAAACATTTTTCAAGCAACAAATTTTCTTAATAAACGTGAAATTGTTAAGAGACAAACCGCCGAGGAGAGCAAGTAAGTACATTTAAGTTTGGTAATAAGTAAATACGTTCGACTTTGCTTAAATATTTAATGTAAGGAAACCAAGATGAAACGGAGCAAAACTTTTGAACGGTGCGATGTATGCGATATAAGTCAGGACACGAAAATAGTGCGATGATTTAAACCACCTAGATGCGAGTTAAGACGGCAGCAATGTGATGTTGTACTACGTGATTCATCTTGCGTTTGTGAAAACCACTTCAAGGAAAGTGATTTCATTTATTGTCCGTCCGAATCAAGCACTTTCAAACGAGCTCGTTTATACCCAAACTATTTCGCTAGAAAAAAATTTAATTTCAAAATTGTTAGAGCTCTTAATATAAAATTGGAAACAAATGTAAAATCATACTTTTATAAGTGTCAAATAATGTTTAGGATAAAAAATTTAAATATAAAAATAAACGCACAAAAGCATAAAACTTGGGCATTTAAAAACAAAAAAATTGCTAAAACGATTTTATAAACAATTTGTCTTGTTTTATTGACAAAATATATATATTCCAGGTAATGTAAGTAAAACAAAACTATAATCAAAATAAAAGCCTAGGGTATTAGTGCTGACAACATACATGCATCACCAAGGGTTAATTCGTTTGTTTTTACTTTTTGACATTATAGTACCTTAAAAGAGAGCTGCCCTGAGTTGTCAATCACACCTTGTTTAATACACCTTGGTGAGGCATAAAGGCCGGTCCACATAGAACTTTCGCGTTGGCTTTGGCTTTGGCGTTAGTTTGACAGAACGCACGTTAAAAGTATGCTTGCTACAATCAACGCTTGGCAGCGAATGCTTTGAGCACTAGATTTAAATACTAACGACAGATAAATTAATATTTCATATCAATAATTGCATGAAACTTGATATTTCTTGCCTACATTTGATTAAAAATTAAAAATATTTCACATAATTTTATTTATTTGCAACAGCTGATTGACAACGC